CTCTTCCTTTCTGGCCATAACTGAGAGGCCAGACTCAGGGGAATTTTCCGAAAGCAAGTTAAAAGGTGTGGATACTTGAAAGTGTTGATATAGTTTAATTTTACACAGGGTGATGAGAAGTTTAAGGAAGTTGAGCGGGATGTGGATACTCATCGGCGACAGTGAGACTTTTGGTCTATCCTCAATGGTCCCTCAAGAATCCTTAAGGCTGCTGGGTCAACCTTTTAAATCTACTCCAAGTTGTAGTGGCTGATCTCTTGGTGGATCTCTCTTGTTCTCTCTATCCCTAAGGTGAGATCTTGGCCTTCCATCCAAGAAACAAGCTGAACACCTGGTCGTAGTATTTCTCTCCCGTGTAATCGGGTTGTTTCCCCCTCAAGGTGCTTCCATGTGGTTCCCCCAGAAGCACGAAGCCGAATCCTCATCCCGATAAACACCTTTTAATTCAATTTACAGTGAATTTCTCTCCGGCAACGTCCCAGCCAAAAGGTAGTTCACAATTACCGACCTTTATCAGGCTTGGAGAGTGGCCAAGCCGATATCTTTCAGACTCCGCAATACTTGGCGAGAATGCAGGAATGAACTCATGGCCTCCTGCAAACTCCACTCCCCTTTCACTCCTCTTTTATTCCCTCTGGGAGGGGCCATTCACCATCCACCTGTGGCCTTCCTCCCAAGTCGACCCCTGTCCTTTAGCTCTTCCCTTCAACTGGCAACTCTGCGCATGCGCACACTGGGAACAGGCTCCAGCTGTTCATCTGCCTCACTGATGTCTGACTCCGAAGGCAGCTGACAACTGGCACGCACACTCACATTTGTGAACCCGGTAGGGAAGGGAATCCAACGGTTGATCTGTTTCCTCAAAGTTCTTTTTGTGAATTCTTTTGTGCCTCCTTCTCTCTCTCAGTTAGCTGAGCGTTACGTGCTTCAAAGTTGCAGCTTGTTCAGCTCCTTTCCGGGACGTTGGCAGGCAAAAAAAGAAGAAGCCAACAGGGGCCTTTTCAGGAATGAAACGAAGCAGATTTCTGGATCGGAGCAGAGAAGGCAGAAAGGAAAAAAGAGGTGACCGGGTTGCTACAACAGGAAACTGCCTCCAAGCCTAAGAAAATATTGTGAGTAAGCCGACACTCTTGCGCTCTGCAAACTGGCAACTGAGGATGTTCGTATCGCGGTGCCTAATCGTAGGGCCAACCTTGAGTTTAAGAAAAGAGGTGATGGATTCGTCCTTCCGCTGGAAATGCTCCGGTGTGTGGATTCACCTTTTCCTTGCCCTTGAACTAAATCCAACTGGAAATCTAACCCACTTGGATAAAGTTATCTGCTCTTCCAAAACATCAGAGAAGCAAATAAGCAAGAGGAGGGCCGGGGGGGGGGGGAAGAGGACATTTAGGCACGTCAAGAAAACAATTAGAAGAACCAGGTCATCCCCTGAAGAGGAGAATATGTAAACACAACAACGGATAGAGTGGCT